GGGGGGGGGGGTGCGGCAGGGACTGGGTGCAGAGGGGAAGTTGAAATGCCCACGTCCCTTGGCAAGGTGGGAGGATAGGGAGTTGAACAGGCCAACAGGGGAAGGTGACTGGGCCCATGGTGAGAGTAGCCGCCCCAGAGTGGGTGGCCACTATCGGGGCAGAGCACCTGGTTCCAGGTTAGGCAACGAGGAGCCAGGGCAGACCCCGCAGGGCCGTGGCCACAGCACCGGCACCACAGCACCTGGGCTGCTGAGTAGGCAGATACCCCAACTGATTACTTCAGCTCCTCCTGCCACACCAACTTCCCCTGGGCACTGACTTCCCTGCTCCTCCCTCCCCACAGTGACTCCTGCCCAGAGAATGTCCAGCCCTGCCATAAAGGCCCAGGTGGCCTCAGCTGCTGGCAGTCAGAAAGCCATGAAGTCCAAGATGGGCTCCTCGCGGGCACCCTGGATGGGGCGTGTGGGAGGGCGAGGGGCCATGGCCCTGCTGCTGGCTGGCCTCCTCCTGCCAGGTACGGGGCAGGGAGGGGGGCCTGGGCGTGAGGGGGTGGGAGAGGAGGGAAGGTTGGAGGGATTGTCTAGAGCCTGGGAGAGCCCAGCAAGGGGAAGGCTCTACAGTCTGACGCTGGGGCCCGGGGCTGCTCCTCACTGCCCATCCCTCCCATCACCCAGGGAGGCTACTTAAACTTTCTGAGCCTCAGTTTCTGAGGCTCTAAAATGTGGTTATGTGTTGGTGCTTTGGAAATTCCAGAGGGTTATATAGAAGTTGTCTGTTGCTGTCTGAGTTCTAGAAGGTGAAGACTGGATATTTCATAGTCACAGTAACTTCCATTTTTAGAGCCTTTCAGGGCCAGACTCTGCTCTAGCACTCTCGGCCTTTAGGGGAACCGAGTGAGATTTGCTGTTCTCACCCACCCTGCACCGGAGCGCGAGGCTCCCCGAGGTTAGGAAACTGGCTCAGGAGCCCAACTAGAAAGTACAGCGGAGGCAAACCCCAGGCTGGGCTGTTATCTGGACACTCGTGACCTTGCGTGGCCTGTGGGAGGGGTGGGCTGGGTGGCGTTGGGGGCACAGAGAGTGTCTCCTTGAAGAGGGACTTGGGAGTTCCAGGTGTGAGCCTGGGTGTTGGTGGCCGGCTGGGGGAGCAGTGGTAGGAATAGCATGGCATGACTTGCTGATGTCTTCAAGCCCCTTCCACACCCACATCCACATCCACACTCGGCGGCGCTTACAGTGACGCCAGAGGGAGGCAGGGAGGTCTGGTGACTCGAAGTGTGTGGCCCTGTCCAGGCCACTGGGGACTGGGAGGGGATGTGGGCCGCAGAGGACAGGTAGATGAGCCCTGGAGGAAAGAGGTGGCTCTGCATCTTGAGGGANCCACACTCGGCGGCACTTACAGTGACGCCAGAGGGAGGCAGGGAGGTCTGGTGACTCGAAGTGTGTGGCCCTGTCCAGGCCACTGGGGACTGGGAGGGGATGTGGGCCGCAGAGGACAGGTAGATGAGCCCTGGAGGAAAGAGGTGGCTCTGCATCTTGAGGGAGACGGGAGGGGTGGGGGCATGGCTCCAGGGTAGCTGGGCAGGGAGAGAGAAGCTGATGCCAGGAACCTCGGGGGAGGTTCCATTGGTGTCCCTGGGCTGGGCTAGGAGAGCCTGTCCTGTGGGGCTGTTCCCGCAGGTTCTGGAGCAACAGTGATGCCCCCACATCCCGGCCCCCACCTAGCTTTCCCCACGGGCGGCGAGCAGTTGGGAGCAGAATTTCCGCGTTTAGCCTAAGCTGGCCCCTCCCGGGAAGCTGCTGAGCAGCCAGGGCCCTAAGTGCCCTGCCCTCTACTTCAGCCCCTTGGCCGCCGCCTTTTCTCTTCTCAGTGTCTCTTCTGCTCCTTGCCCTCCCTCCTGGGTCCGCTGTTGTTCTGTCTGTGTCTTCTCTTCCCATCTGGTCCCACGGTCTTGCCTGGGGTTTCTTCCCTGGGGATCTACGCCCACCTTGGGTTTCAGTCTCCACCTGCTGTCTCTCTGGGGCAGGTCCTGTAGGCCATTTGTCCTACTCTGCCCTCCTTGTGTCTTTCTTCCAGACCTCCCACTTTGCAGTCTCCTTTTCTTTTCCGGCAGATGCTAGCCCTTTCCCGCCCCCTCCCAGAAAAAGGGAGCTGCCCTTATTCTGCCATATCCCTTTAGAGATAACAGCCTCTCCCTCCCTTTTCTGCCCGACTCTCCTGGGCCACTCGCAGGAGAAATCAGAGTGGCAGGCGATGCAGATGGGCCTGAAAGGAGAGGGAGGATGCCAAGGCTCTTGGGCCCTTACTAACCATGATTTTCCTCCCCAGGGACCTTGGCTAAGAGCATTGGGACCTTCTCAGACCCCTGTAAGGACCCCACACGTATCACTTCCCCCAATGACCCCTGTCTCATTGGGAAGGGTGGCTCCAGCAGCTCTGTTTCCAGTTCTGGTGGCTCCAGTGGTGGCTCCAGCGGATCCAGTGTCTCCAGTGTTTCCAGTGGTTCTGGTGGCCCTAGTGGTGGCTCCAGTGGCTTCAGTGGTGGATCCAGTGGTGGTTCCAGTGGCTCCAGCAGTGGCTCCAGTGGTGGTTCCAGCGGCTCCAGCAGTGGCTCCAGTAGTAGCTTCAGTGGTGGCTCCAGTGGATCCAGTGTGGCCCAGGGTGGTTCTTCGGGATCTTTGCTGTTTAAACCNTCCAGCGGCTCCAGCAGTGGCTCCAGTGGTGGTTCCAGCGGCTCCAGCAGTGGCTCCAGTGGTGGTTCCAGTGGCTCCAGCAGTGGCTCCAGCGGTGGCTCCAGCAGTAGCTTCAGTGGTGGCTCCAGCGGATCCAGTGTGGCCCAGGGTGGTTCTTCGGGATCTTTGCTGTTTAAACCAGGAACAGGGTATTCCCAGAGCAGCTACTCCTCTGGGTCTGGCTCTAGTCTGCACAGTGCCTCCAGCTCCTCCCAGCTGGGGTCCGGCCCAGCTCCACCAACCAATGGTGGTTCCACCCACTTCGTGATAAGCTCTTCCCAGTCTGGAGGAGGCTCAAGCTCCTCTGTCTCCCAAACTTCCTGGGTGTCCGGCAGTGGTGGCCAAAGGGTCAATTCTAACTTACGCCCCTGTAGTTCCGATGTCCCTGACTCTCCCTGCAGCGGGGGACCCGTTGTCTCCCACTCTGGCTCCTACATCTCCAGCTCCCACTCCGTGTCAGGGGGCCAAAGGCCAGTGGTTGTGGTGGTGGAGCAGCACGGCTCTGGCGGCCCTGGAGTGGTTCAAGGCTCTCCTTGTAGCAATGGTGGCCTCCCAGGCCAGCCCTGCCCCCCCATCACCTCTGTAGAGAAGTCCTATGGCAGTTATGAGGTGGTGGGTGGCTCCTCTAACAGTTACCTGGCCCCGGGCATGACTTATAGTGAGGGCAAAATCTACCCAGTGGGGTACTTCACCAAAGACAACCCTGTGAGAGGCTCGCCAGGGGTGCCCTCCTTTGCAGCTGGGCCGCCCATCTCTGAGGGCAAGTACTTCTCCAGCAACCCCATCATCCCCAGCCACAGCTCCGCCAGCATCTACCCCTCCGGAGCTTCCTCGGCCATCGTGTTCCAGCCAGTGGGCTCTGGGGGGGTCCAGCTCTGTGCAGGCGTGAGGGGGCCCTGCTCCCTCTCTGGTTCCAGAGTCCCCAGCAGCCCCAGCACTTCTGGGGGCTCTGCGCCAGGCTCCCACCCCTGCGGCAGTGTTTCCCAGGGGCCCTGCTCCCCACCGGGCCCGGGCTCACTCAGCCACAGCTCCAGCTCCCAGTCCAGTGGCAAAATCATCCTCCAGCCCTGTGGCAGCAAGGCCAGCTCTGCTGGCCACCCCTGCGCTTCCGTCTCCTCCTCCTCACTGAGCGGGGGGCCCAGGGGCTCTCCTGAACCTGATCCCTCAGCTGGTGCCCAGCCCTGCCACGGCTCTGAGAAGATGCCCTGCCGCTCCATCCGGGACATCCTGGCCCAGGTGAAGCCCCTGGGACCCCAGATAGCTGACCCCAAAGTCTTTCAGCCCCAGGGACAGCTTCATGACAGTCCATAAGTCACTTGTGCTGCATGCATGTGCAGCGTGCGCGCACACACGCAGCGGGAGTGCGGAGACCGGGAGGCCCAGGCATGGGTCAGCTGGGCCCCTCCTCACTCCCCAGAACTGCTCTGCTCCCCGCTGGGGCGGGCGCACTCCCCTGCTGGCCTCACCTCCGGGCTCTGGGAGCCCCCCGTTCCTCCCCCTCTCCCTCTGCGCAGAAGCCCAGCCCAGGCAGCGCCCTCCCCGCCCGTGCCCACGCCCCGAGCCTCCTCTGCCGCGTCTGAGAGCTGCGGTCCCTTGGCTAACGCTGCACCTTCAGACTGGGGACTGGGAATCCCCGAACTGTCCCAGAGTAACTCCGATGCCTGGACGAGTCCTCCTTTCCCCTCTCCCTTTGACAAATAAAGCTCAGTCTCACCGTTATCTGAAAATGACCACTGTTCAGACCCTCTTGGCCGCCTGGTCAACCACTGCGGTCTGCCCTGGGTCTCACCGGCCCATTCCACTCCCGCCCTGCGCTGCAGACCCGGGGAGGCTCCCTGCTCTCCAGACCCTGGGCAGATGTCTCAATAAACGGTGTGAACTAGAGGCGGACTGTGTGCCTTCTCGGAGTCCTGGGTCCTCTTAGACCTTGGTGGTGCTCTCCTATGCCTCTCGGGGTCCCACGTCGCCATGGCCATTCAGGGGCTGTCAGTATCCCTGCAGCTCCTGCCCCAGAGCAGGAGCACAATGACAGCAGAGGCTGTCTGGGCTCTCGAACCCTGCTCCCAGGGCTCTCCGCTCTCATTGCTGCAGGGAGCCTTCTCTCCTCGCTCCCTCACCGAGTCCTCCCCTCTGCCCCTACCCACCCAAGCTTCCTCTCCGCTACCATTAGTTGACCTTACCGCTAGACTCCACCCCCTCCGGGAGTCCCCAGCATGGACTCCGTGGGTTTCTGGGACATCAGTGGAACCTTGGGAAGGCTGGGACCCGCCAGCCCAGCCCAGAGTCCTGAGACTGAGGAGCAGCCCAGGCGGCACCGCCCTGGGGGCTCCGTGGAGACAGGAAGAGGCAGCAAAGATGAGAGCATGGCAGGCCTGCGGTCCAGCACCAGCCTTCACAGGCGTGTGAGAGTCCCGCCAGAGGGAGGGCACAGCCCGCGGGGACCACACCTTTACACTNGGCATGGCAGGCCTGCGGTCCAGCACCAGCCTTCACAGGCGGGTGAGTCCCGCCAGAGGGAGGGCACAGCCCGCGGGGACCACACCTTTACACTCTCGCTGCCTTTGCTGTGGGGGTGAGAGGAGAGAGCTCCGTCCTGGAGAAGGGAGGAGGGAGGTGGAGTGAGAGCTGAGGGGGTGAGAGGAGAGAGCACTGTTGTAGAGAGGGGGAGAGCGGAGGTGGGGTAGAGTGAGGGATGTGGGCGATGAGAGAGGAGCAGTGAGAAGGCAGTGAAGGGGCCGGGGCCGCCAGGGTGACGGCCCTCCGGGCTAGGTGCAGTTAGCCCAGAAGGGCAGGGTTGGCCACCAGTGAAGAGCTGTGAGCCCGGACACCTGAGTTGGGAAGGGGCAGGGGACTTCAGGAAAGAAGCCAGGTGGGAACGCCCAGCAATTGGCACCCCTTGGCACAGACCACATTAGGGGCGAGGGTGGAACGCGGAGATGTATTGTCTGCACACCTCTGTCCCAGCCTGTTTCTGCTGCCCCGCCCCGCTGACAGGATAAAGGCTGCTGGCTGGGGCCAGAGCACATCCTAGAGCTGAGCACCATGCAGGGCTGCTCGGCACAGCGCCCGGCTCCTCTGGCCCTGCTCCTGGTCTGCCTTCGTTTCTCAGGTACCGAGGCTGTGCCTGGCCCTTGAGCATGAGGGGACAAGGGGCTCTGGGGAACTGAAATTAAGGGTGGGGTAAAGGTAGGATGGTGCACACTTGGGTCCCTGGGGCAGTAAGAGTTGGCTTCGGGGAATTGAAGACTCAAAGCCAAGGGAATCAGGGAGTCAGAGGAGGGCATTGGGTCACTGGCTGCCTCCTCTTCTTTTCCCCCAAGGTCTCTCTGCCCGGAGCATCAGTGTTGGGGAGGACAATGATCCCCAAGGCTTGGGGACAAACTTGCCTCTGCTTGGACAACCTACCTTGACTGGCCCCTCCAATCCCCAACATCCTCAGCACAAACCAGACCCTAGAGCTAATGATTTAGCAACGGTTCTTTGGGAGCCCAATGCTTCTCCATCAGATGGCTCCGAGCCAGGAGGTTCTGGGGTTCAGAGGTGGTCCACATCTGGGCGGCTGCCTTCCATGGATTCCTGGCCCTCAGAGGGTCCTTGGCAGATCATGGTTGCTGTGGAGGACCACATGGGGGAAGCTCTGCCCCAAGAGCTGTCCTTCCCTTCCAGTGCTGCTGCCGTCCCTCTGAGGTGCTGTCCTTTGCCTGTGAGTTCCTTAGCATACTCCGCAGGTCCCTCACCTGAGGCTTCACTACCTCACCAGGTCTCTGAGTCTACACCTGAGGCTTCACTCCTCCACCAGGACTCTGAGTCTACACCTGAGGCTTCACTCCTCCACCGGGACTCTGAGTCTACACCTGAGGCTTCACTCCTCCACCGGGACTCTGAGTCTA